CTTTACATAATGTTTAGTATTATTCAATAAATTATACTGTGGTATTAGTTGTATCATCTATGCAGTAATAATTAGTGGTCATGGACTAATATTAGTACCTACTATAGTCTATAGTGTTAGTTTTATATTAGTCCGTGTTTGTGATCTAATTTTTGTCGTACCTACAGATTTTGATAGTAGAATAAAATATTATGATAATAAATCATCGTTGAAGCGGAAATAAAATTCCACGATGTTTTTATTCACATAGAATATAATATTATTATTTGAAATTATAATATTATGGACTTTTAAACATAGGTCGTTTACAACTTTCTTATTTAATAAGATATTAAAAGGGGAAGACCTATCTGTTAGTCACCTCAGTCCCCAGTGTTGTATAATTTTGACAAATACTATCTATAGATTAGAATACGGTAAGCTTATGTGATTTCTGGGGACACAATAATAGCCCTCAATATATGGGTCGTTTATTCAATTCCCTTATTCTGTTTTATTTATTTTGATTTTTGTGATATCTATAATAGTTAAGTAACTACCTATTATGATAATTCAATATTTCAATATTTAATTGACTCATTATTTTATATTATTTTTATTTGTTACTTGTATTACAAAATACAATTTACAAAAGTATATCGAGTGAAAGTGATTGTTGCTGTTATGCATTATAAATATTTACTATGAAAATCATGAGCAAATACAATTATTTATCAAGTCATTGTAAAATATCATAGAATAATACAGAGTAATTCAAAACAAATCATAGATGAAATCATTTATAATATATGCTGTGTAGTTCTATCAGGCACGTAGCCAGACATTTTTTAACTACTTCCTGCTTTTTGTATCCCTTACCCTCTACTTATAACACAAAATTTATAAAAAAAAATTATGAATTTTAACAACGTATTGTCTGTATTGGTTAATAAGTTTAAGAGAACACTACACGCGCATGTGTTGTCTCCTTCTTACAAAATATGTAAAACATATCAAAAACTGTTTTGAGTGGCACCACATAAAAAAGTTATTCAAGTTTGAAAAACACAAAACTAATGGATTATGAAACAATTTTACTTTTTTCGTATAAGTCATAATAAGTGATATAAAAAATAATAAAAATGACATTTCACAGATAGTGTTCTCAACTATATTGTATATTATCAATTTGGAGTCTATGTTCATAATCCACTTAAAAATTAAAATATCGTAAAAAACCAACGAGAGAACACAGATAATGTTGTTAAATAAAATTTTTGTAATATGTCATAATTCACCCTAATATCAAAACAGACAGCACCCTAATGAAACTAGCGAACGAAAATTGGCCATGTCATCCGTGTGTAAGACGGAGACAACACGTGTGCGACGCTCTCTTTAAATCGATCTCAAGACATAGGTACCAAAAAAATCAACTTACATACACACAGAATTAGCTGAATATAAGGCTCTTGGGATTAGTGACCTAAAACCTTTGTATTACCATCTAGTAGAAACTTTCAACGCTTTTAATGCTATTATCTGATGGTACATAATATAGTGTCTTTCACCCTAATAAACTCCTACTAATCTGTTATTTAATTTTTTTTTTTTTTAATGCATATTTTGATAATTTATTTTTATGACATTTAATAAAACAGGTTGATTGAAATAAACAATTATATGGTCATAATGTTTGTTATGTATTCACGAGTGTATGGTAGTCAGGTGGAGGGCATGCATATCTACAATTTTGTTTTTTTTTAGAAATAATTAAGCTATTCAAAATATTTTGTAAAATAGTGGATAATGTGTGGGTACTGGGTAGTTTCGTTAACGACCTAAATATGGCACAAATAATAACATCATAATTGATAACTATATATAGGTAACGTATAATTTTACTTTCCTCTCTGATCTTCGAGGACTTTATAATTGACACGTATAGGTATAGATTATAAATATCAATAATAAATTACAGAAAATTATCGTCGACGTTATTCATTGGAAACTGTATACCTATGGTATGGGTCCTATGCCATATTTTAACCACCCATCACGCAACACGTATTCTAATGTAAGAATTTTTTGTCCCGAACATTGCGCAGCGGGTTCTCAGCACAATATTATATTATATACCTACCTACCAGTGTTCACACCATGTCACCATCACACGCAAACATTAGCTAGGTCACGTACCATGTATAATATATAGGTATTATTGGTATTATACTACCACATAACATAACACTCGGACCTTTTTTTTATGTATACAGTTTATTGCACAGGAGATGTCCATAAGGTTTAATATCGTATTCGTATATACCTACTTAAATCGTTTAATGGATCTGCAACTGCAATGGTTCAACCGAATTTTCAACACCGGCAAAGCCATAATAAAAACTGCTTGAATTAAAAATAAAAAATTTAGTGAAATATATATTTAATTACCAGTACACCTTTATATTGTAACTTGTAGTCTACTATAAGGACATAATTATTACATGTGGGATTGTGATGCCTAATTGACAATTGTAGATTAATTCGGATAAAATAGAAAAATAATTGAATGCAGTGCAGTTGATAAATCAATACTTAGGTAGTTGATTCAAAATAAACCTCATTTGTAAGCTCACTTATAGCAGGGCTTAAAACCGATATTTGATACCTACCGATTTTGAATACCGTGGGTTAAAACAGTGAACGACCGAAATCGATAATGAAACCGAAAACAAAATCGAAAAAAACCAATACCTGTAATCAAAACCGATATCAAAATCGGAAAAATTCAAAACTGATATTCAAAACCAAAAACGAAATCAGAAAAATAAATACCAATATCCGAAATCGAAATAGGAAAAAATAAATACCAATATCTGAAACCGAAATCGAAATAGGAAAAAATATTTACGGTTTAAAGCCCTGCATTATAGGCACGCCATGCACTTATCTGGACGGCCCGTTAAAATCGTCCTAGCTCCACTGCCCCGGTATTTTATGCCGGCTGTATTATTATAGGAACAACATACGAAACCACATGTCTCCTGGGGAGGCTGTTATTCTGCAGCATCCTCGTCAAGGGTCTGGGGATTAGTGTGTTTGTAAACTGTGGACCGGGACAGGATTACGAAATACGAGGGCGATCAATAGAAGATTTAAACTATTATTATTTATTCCATATCCAACCATTTATTGTCTGTCGTATAGGTACTCTGGCTGTGTCCAAATACTTGTTCATGATTTTTTATGCATGGCGACTTGGTGGCGCCGTTCGTGTATTGCGACTATTTAATAGCAATCGTTTCCTTTGAAACTGGCTGAAATAAGATATAAGTATGCCGCAGTATAAGATATTATTGTACCATTGTAGTGCAGTTCAAATACGTCATGATTTATAGTCGACTGTCGACTGTACAGCAAACATTGTGTGATCTTTACATATCTTATACCACCCAAAATTCTACATATCTTATCCACCTTCGTCAAGAATTTATTATCGTAGTTTGTACGAATACCAAATAATGGACAAGTGATAAGTATAGGAATGTATAATAATAATAATATGTTTAATATCTAATAGGTATGTATAATAATATAATATAATATATAATATGTATAATAATAATGTTTTATTTATTTATTTATTATTAATATTTTTTTTTTCTCCCCCTTTCCTGTTTACTATGTACATAAGAATGTATCAATATTTCTAAGGTTTTAACCTACCATTCAATCTTATTGAAGAATAAAAAGAACAGTTGCCAACTGCCTCTAAACTCGCACCTGGATATACACTTGACAAGTGAAAATCGAAATGGACGTGCTACGTATACCATGTGTCTTCAAGAACTTTGCACACTCTATAACTCCATTACCTACCTATACATCTTTCAGTACCTTACACAAATTTTAAGATTCTGTTTGTGGGAGATTGATTATCCAATAGTCTAGTTTCATGTCCTGCAAACAGAATTTAATTATACAGTGTACCCTGTTTTCGGGGACATACTGTATATTCTATTGTATTAAGTACAGAAACGATTTCTCGTCGTGTCTTCTTCATAATAACTAATATTGTATGCACAGGCCACAGTTAAAGCCTTTTGGCTGTTTTGAGGTATATAATACTGTTTCCAAGTATTTTTCTCCGTATTTATATAATATTACAATAATTATACAATTTATCGTAGCTGGTGAAAAAGTTATAGGGAAAAATACAATAATTGTATCTTTCCAGTACTTACCGTCTTACCTATGTACAAATATTGTTACTTCTTATATCTTACCAATATAATTTATATAGGTAGGTTGGTAGGTACATACATAGTTTATTATTATTTATTTCCATATAACTGTACGTTTTAACACATGTGTGTTTTTGGCAGAATTTTTAAGTGGGCCCGAAGAAAAATGCTGCCCGTGACCGAGTTCGAACCGGCTATGGTGTACGTCGCAACTGACGCCTTAGGGCCCGTATTACAATAGTTGAACTCCGGTTAAATCACCGAATTCGGCCGGTGAAATCAGTGGTTCAAGCGTAACCGAGGTTTAAACACTTTAAACTATGATTGTAAAACGGGCCCTTAGACCGCTCGGTCACTCCTTTTTCCGATTCGATCATTACAATATTATAGTATTGAAATGAATACTAATTATTTATTATTATAATTGGCAGCGGGCCACATACCTATTATTTTTTTAAATCTTGCGGGCCGCATTCGTAGTAAAAATATGTTTTTTATATAAAAATTCAGTTTTATTATTACATTTTTTAGAATTAGGTAGGTTCATTTAAAATTACAAATTATTATTACTATTAAAACATATATAGATTAACATTTTTTTGATTAATGCATTAAAAATATCACAACTTTTTGTAGTGCCTTTCATTGGAAAAAGCGCGGCTAATTCTTCAGTGATATTAAAATTAGAATCGATACCCCGAATAAAAATTGCTAATTGCGCAGTATCTGACAAATCTGTACCTACTTTCGTCAAGGACCAGAGAATAAAAAATAAATTTAGAAATACGTTCTTTTAGGGTACCTACTCTCAATATCAGTTCTTAGTTCTTCTAATCGTCTTGCTACAGTTACCACCGATAAACTCAATTTGGAAAAAAGTTGTTTTTGTGGTGGACATACAATTTCATAGGCGGCCTCCATACACTGTTTTATAAATTCACCACCAGTGAACGCCTTCCATTTAGCCTCAATTTTTTGTGCTACGATATAAATAGCTTTGGCACTAGCTTCTGAGTCTTTATGACATTTTTTTATACTTGAAGACTGGCCTTGTATATTTTTCATTAACAATGCAAGTTTGTCAATTCGAAGTCGTCCTTGTATCATATCATATTTTGCTGCATGTTTGGTACTATAATGTCGTTTTAAATTGTACCCTTTATCACTCGATTCTTGACAAATCAAACATATTGCCTTTTCTTTAACTTGAATAAAAAAATAGCTATTTTACCATTTTTCTTGAAAAACGCGACTTTCATCCGAAATTTTACGTTTTTTACTCACCGACATATTGTACAAATATTACGAAGAAAAAGTATGAAATTGAAACTTTTACACTAGCGGCTAGAGAGATATAATATTTATATTACAAGCTATTATTATTATTATTATTATTATCTACTTTCATTATACTGTTATAATATTGTAAGTAGGTACCTACTGCAACCGTAATCGCTACAAGGTGTTTGAAGTTGAAACATGTAGTCTAGAATCGTAAAATCATAGACATTTTAAAATTATTTTATTTATTTATTGTTGACAATTCATAAAAATGCCGATCTTAATAATTGTTGTGATCCAATTCTATAATATTTTTGTTATACAATTAGGAAAATTCTTAATTGTTTTGAAATTTTTCTATGGGGTAAAATATTGAAATAGTTAAACTTTTTATTTTAATGCAATAAAACTACGTTTACACTTAACCGTATCAACAACTGGGAATTGTCTGGGTGGTTCTATAGGTATCACTTGCAGTGGTTCAAATAATGGATGCCTAAAAAAATGGCGTGTATGATTGGAGTGTAAGTTACTCGATGCGTGTGAGGAGAGGGTTTTATATGTTATACTTTTAGAAAATTATTGAATATATATATTATACCATTGAGTATATATTGTAAGAATATATATATTAGGTGTATACAAAATTTACCATATATACCTAAGTTGTATAAAAAATATATAAATAAATAATAATTATTATAATACCTAATATAAAATTGTTATCAATAATAAATATTGTGTGGTCATATAATGTTGTCATTAATTAAAATTATAGACTATAGTAATGTGTATAATATATTAAATAAGAAAATAATATGTAATATTTGTAAAATTATTGCAAATATATTTTGAAAATTATTAAAAGTGTACCTAAGTTGCATAAAATTTGTAAAATATAATATGTATTATAATTATTATTATTATATTTGTCAATAATTATATATTATGTAATTATTGATAAAATCTAACTTTACCTTTTATAATTTTCAAAATTATATTTTCAATAATTTTACAAAAATGATATACTATTTTATTTAGCAATATATTATATACATTATACATATTACTATTATGTTTAATAATTATTGACAACAATTTCATATTACTTATTATAATTATAATAATTTATCTATACATTTTTTTATATAACTTGGGTATAAAAAATATTTAATAATTTTTTATAAGTATAACATAAAGATCTGAAGTATATAACATTAATTATTATTGAATTTTGTGTTTTGACTGTAAAGTGAATCGACCGAAAAGGGAATGGTACGATTTGGGTCGAAGGGAGTTGACCATTGGTCAAAAAGAGATCGAAGGGTAAGTTTTTGGTCGAAAACGTCGATGCCATACCTATAATTTGAAATAATAACCAAATAATATTAATCAACAATTAATACTAAATTATAATAAAATAATTTAAAAAAAAACAGTGAGTGTTGTTGAACACTCGGCAGGAACGAAGTTCAGTGCATGTGATGCGAGACGCGGAAACATATATGGTTAGAAAAATATAAATAAATAGAGATAGAGAGAGAGAGAGACAGAGAGAGAAATGAATGCTTGTATAAATATATCGCGCGCATGGTAATAAAATTATAATAAATTTTTTCTGAGTATTATGAAAAAATGGTATTTTATTTTATAATCATTATAAAAGTACAAAGCAATTATGAAATTAATCAGTATTCTCAATAACAGTAACTATTGGTTTGTGGTAGCTGAATTAATATGTCACGTATGTTTGTGATTGAATTTTTTCTATATATCTCGAAATACTGCATCGATAGTGGTATTGTATCTTGTTGTAGATTCCGACGGATTATTATTGATGGTTAAGTCAAATTCTACTGAAAGAAATTTTAATAATGATACGGTTGATACAGCTTGTACTCGATTATCGTTTTTCAAAAGTAAATTTTAATTTCATTTGTTTAATAGATTTGTATGTTGTATGTATATAGAGAAGAAGGTAAATGGAAATCACAATGGAATTTATAAATTTAAGGGGCAAAAATTATTTTGAAAATAAAATTCTTATCACTTTCCTAATCAATAAAAACAATATTTATGAAAATCCCAATAAATCCCATCAAAAACTCAAAACCCCGAGTTTCCCTTTGGCGAGGTGGGTGTTAGTACTCTCCCGGACCAAAATCCATCAAAAAAGCAAAATCCAAAAGGGGGGGAGGAGGTGCCCCCGTTCCCTAAAGCGGAAAACTGTAGTCTTCATAATAAGAATGGGTTCCCCCTTGGTCCGAGGTCTTTAACTTGAATTCCGGCCGAGTTACACTCAACTCAAAATGTGGGGGGGTGGGGGCTTTGGTTCCCTAATGTTGAAAATTCATCTGGGGCCTAAAAAAATGAGATGCCCATTGGTCCGGGGTCTCTAAGTCGAATACCGGCTAAGTTATGCTTCGTCAAAAATAATTACTCGTTTAATGGGTCCCCCCCCACTCCGCCCGACGATCACCTCTACGCGCGTGACGACCGATGTTGGGTAGCCTACGCGAATGGAACCGCAGTGTTGCCAGATGGTACGATCCTAGTGGGGACATACGATAATATGAGAGGAGGGAGGGGATATGTAAGCCGGCAGCCGAGCAGGCAGGCACAGCCTGTCTAAATGTTGCGTTTTTCAGTGTTACGCTTTTCGGTGTTACGCTTTTTGGTGTTGCGATTTTTTTCCAGCGACTCCCATCCACCTAACGCCCCATAAGGAACTTCGTTCCAATAAAACAAAATTATAAAAAAATAAAAAATGATCAATTATTTAAAATTTAAAATTTTATGATGTCAATATATCATGATTTATGCTTATAAGTTAAGACAGTATGATGTTAATATGTAGTTATGTTAAATTATTTTAAATAGCTGTATGCAGCAATTTCAACATTGTATGAGTGTATGAAAAGGTATAACCCTTGGTATAAACAAATGTGGTTCAAACTACTTTTTAAACTTTCCTGATATCTACAAGAACAATTTGAAATTTTCACAAAATCTGTAAGTATACATAGTAGTTTTTATGAACCTATATTATATACCGTAAGAGCGGGATACTTTACTCTAGGGGTTAAACATTGCTCCAAAAAAAATATTTATTGATTTCAATCGTAGCACATTATGATTTTGAGATCAGAGATTGTAGTTTTATTATATTATTCTTATTAACATTACTAATTTTTTCAAACATTAGGAACATCAATCTATTAGTTTGCCTCCAAGATGTATGTCATGAAAAAAATTGTTTTCAAAAACACAAAAACACATAACGGAAAAGTTATCCAAAATCTAGGGGATTGAAATTTAATTTAAAATTTATTAAAAAAAGACTTTTAATCAACTAAAAAAAAAATAAAAATTATATTATTCAATTATATTATGTATAGGTTCAAATAAGTTAAAACACAAGCGCTAAACATTACACCAATAGTTATGATATGCATTAAAGTAAGGTAATTTTAAGCATTGCGCAATGTAATCTGCAGTGTATTTTAACTTTACTCCAAACTTTTGGGAATAAGTAAGTCACTAGTACGACATTCGGATTTTTTTGAATTGTTCTTACCTCTCACATCTATACATATAAAACAACGCTAACAGGTAATTTTTATCTTTGTTAATGAAGCTATAGTATAGGTTCAAACTAAAAAAAGAAATATATTTGAAGCAAAGTATCCCATTCTTACGGTAGCTACAAATATACATTCAACTATCACATTTCTTTTAAGATATAATTTCATTATTCGAAACTATAATCGTGACAATTTGATGGATGCTTTTATCTCATCTGCCAGAGTAACTAATGACAACCATTTATATACAAGAAAAATACTAATATCTACTAATTATTTCTCCTATAACCAATAGGAACCATTTATAAACAATAATTTCCATCTAATCAATCCAAGTTGTGCCTACTGGGAGCAATTGTGAATATAAATTATCCTGGGATCACACATAAAAAATGCCATCAAAATCGGTCCAGCCGTTTAGGAGTTCAATGACATACAGACAAACATTCATTTTCATATTTATAATATAGTGGTACAAATGATAAATTAAATACCTAAATGTTTTAATAATATTTATTTAATAGGTACAATATCTCTTATAATAAATATAAAAAATTTTACTAGTCACTATAATTAAAGTTTTAATTAATCAATGATAAACTACCCTTGGCTAAAATTAAAGAATGTGGATGACTAATAATCTATTTGTATTAAAAAAAAAAATGATTTTATTTTACACACTTTATGAGAGGTCTATAATTATAATTATTTTAGTGAATCAACAACATTTCAAAATGTTTTTTATTATAATATAGATAAATTAATAATTTATTATGAGAACTAAATCAAAGTGACGTACATACTGTAGCCAATAATATTGACCCATTATTGCATTATATCATAATTATTCATAACTACAGACCGGATATAATTGAGTTAAGAATATGTCAAAATTGCAATGAAAATATATAAAACTAAAATTGCAGTATAAAATGCAGTGTAAATATGTTAAAATTGCAATGAAAAATATATGAAAGTTAGGTATTTAAAAAAAAAAAAAACATATAATATAATATAAAATATATATTTTCAATTCTTTGCTTAAATAACACGATGGACCTTAACATATTACATAATTATAAAATAATAGGTATCGTAAAAAAACAAATTTATATATAAAAAAGCATTTAAAAATTAGAATTTATAATTTTTCTGAATTAAAATGTATAATTTTTACAATATATTGTAATATATATTATTACAATTTTAAAATTGTAACTCATCTGTAATCTGTTACTTAAAATGTGATTATATACCTAATGGAAAATTATGTTCAACATCTACTCTTGTTATCAGGCCTCATTTTAAAAAATTGGAGTTACATCTAAATTAACACTACCATTACCTCAGAGTAAGTTTAAATAGTTATATATTCTTAATTTTTTCTAAGGCGTATTCAACTTTATCTTTTTCCCATAGGGACCTGCAATTCGTCGGTCAATAAATTATTATTACCGATACATTAATATCTTAACATTTATATGAGTCTGTCAGTATCTATAGAACGCTTCTATACTATTAGGGAAAACCATTATGTGAAAATGTACATTGTAGTTATATTTTTATTGTTAAATTACCTAAGAAATAATAGTGTATATTTTATCACTTGAAGTATACAAAACTGAAAAAAATACAAATTTGTTAAAATTGCAAAAATTAAAAATATAAAATTAAATAGGAAGACTATAATAATTAGTCGAGTCTGTGTACATATTTTATCAGATTTGATTTACTTGATAACAATAAAAAGTTGCAATATCTATTAAATCCGGCTTTAATCATAACATACTGTATATATAAAAAAAAAAAACTAAAATAGGAAAAAATATGAGTGTATTTTATGAAATAAGTATTACAATAATGTAGTTTTTAATTTTTAGAGTTTGAAATATTTAAAATATAGAAAAACTTTAGAACATTTTTTGTAAAAATATAAAATAAATATAACTTGGTAATTTTTGTTTTTAATTGCTTGTTTCAATGTTCTAAAATTATTATATAATAAATAATAATAATGAAAAAATAATAAGGTTGATGCTTAACCAATACCAATGGTATTACGTTACAGAGCAATACCAATGATGGGTAAATAAGATCATAATGATTAATAAAATACAGTTTTAAGTACAAAATTCTTAAAGAATTTATAATAAAATGGTTTGTATATATGAGGGTACCTAATTATAAAACATTTGTTTTTTAAAACCTTAACTAATATCTTATATTATTATGATTAGTTAAGAATAAATAAATTATAAGGTATAATATCATAATGAGCATATTTTTATTAATTATTAATTATTGTACTACATTTATTTATATAATTCAAAAATGTATTTTTGTTTTATAACCAATATAATGAATTATAATTAATAGTAATTATTCTTTATAGTTTTATTTTAAATCATTTGAAATGAGTTAAAATTATAGTAATGATAAAATTATGTTTTTTTATGTATATATTACATAGTTATGAACTTATGTTGTAAAAACTAAAGAAAAAACAACCGAACAGTGTTGTTACTTATTCGCTTTTAGGGTTAACATAATTTGGGTGTTTTAAATAGTTAGCAAATTCTTTTAAATCAGAAACACCTCGTACTTCTTTTTCTAACAATGGAAGCTTAGTAACATGGCAATTAAGATACAAATCCTTTATCTAAAACAAAAAATAATAACAATAAAACAGTTATCAAAAAAACTGTATTTGTTATATTATAAACTTACCTGTTCTAGATAGGTGAGCTGTAATTCCTTTCTGGAAGAACACTTTTTACAATTGGGATCGGATTCTCCATTGTTTGAGTATAATTGATTAACAACAATATTATGGCAGTCAATTTCATTTTTGTTTAATTCTTGGAAAAGCCTTTCCGTTTCATACAATGACAAAAATTCAGCAATACACACACAAATAAATGTGGTTTTTTCCTTAAATAAAACAGTATTAAATTAATTTTGATTGTTTTAAAAATATTATATAATTACTAACATGATTTTTTAATTGTTGATTAAAAGTTTTAATGTAATCCAATAGTTCAACAATTTTCTGTACAATATCCTCTAGATAAAAACCAGGTTCAAAAAACATAGGTATCTGACTTAGGTAACGGCCTATTGTACTTTTAAGTTCCAAAATGTTTCCTAAAGCTTTTTCCATCATCGAAGGGAATGACAGTAGTCTTAAAGTATGTCCTGTAGAAGCTGTATCAATTACAATAACTGAAAAGTCCATAGTCTTAATCAACCTAAAATCACACAGATATAACAGTAATGTTGTCTTAATAATATACCATTTCTTTAAAGTACATAATATATATACAATACAATTTCAACATAAGATATTTTTAACATGAATGCAAAAAATAAAGTAAAAAATCTATTGAGCATAAACAATTTCATACAAAAAAAAGGTTAAGATTTTGTTTAAATAAGTTGTGATTGCTGACAACATAGTTAAGTTATATAAAATAGTATATTTACATTTTAAATTATTATAATATTAATGTAATATAAAATGTTTGCAGTGGTGCATGCGAGGATAGGATACTAGGATTTCAGGTTACAACCCCCACTGGAATTTCTACTTTCACAAAAAATCCATTTACCATTTAAGCGCTAGTCATTTTTAATAGATATAAAATAAATTGTAAAATTACAATACAATCAAGAATCTTAGTTTCAGTTGAATTTTTTGGCCAATAAATATACATTAGCTACCTACTAAACCATAATAGTTTTATCAACTATTACTATGTTTATTACGGCACGGAGAGTCTCTAGACTAGGCTCAATACAATAATTGTAGATTCAATTTGAGACTAACACAACAGTTTGTTTCAACCAATTATTTAAAAATTATTTAGCCAAAAAAAATGTAAATAAATTATAATATTGTTTTTTTTTTTTTAATTTTAAAAAACTATAATATTATATTAACACGTTAAACGCCAACAGCAACCCATAGTTGACAGGACTAAACGGGCGCCCATGGCCGATGTCAACCTGTGGTTGACATAGAGTAACCTATTTTGTATTGAGTCTTTTTTGGTGGCTATAGCTGAACACATTTAAAAATTTAATAGGACATTCATAACCGTATCGACAATTCCTTAAAATCTACTAATTTTACTATTGACGACGGTCACCTGCAAATCAAATGATGTCGACGACTGGAGTGAGCATGCCAAATCGACGTAGGCGTTCAATGTGTTAAATTGTATGACCTACCTGTACTGTATCAATTGTTTTACTATGTGAGTTAATTGAATGTTTATCATATTATTATTATTACTTTTAAAATTTTATGTTTTCCAGATTATGTACAAGATATCAGAGTTAAGAGAAGAATAACAATTGGTGTTTGGAATAATTTTAAAATTTTAATGTTGGTGACAGGTCGAAAGGGGTATGTGATGAAGCCTCCCCTTCAGTGATTAATCTTAAATGAAAACTTAACCGAACTAAAATATTGCGTACGTTACAGAATGTTTGTGTACACTTACTTTATTATTTTAGCATATCTCATTGTATCATCAATACCTGGAAATAGTGATGAAATGATTTTCACAATATTGTTACCTAACTGTACTGTTTTAGATCCATCCTCAGGTTCAAATAAAGATTGGTTTTCATCGTTATCAGTGTCTACTTCCTAAGTAATAAATTTAAACAAAAATGTACAGTAATATACATATTATGACATTCTACATTCTAAAACGCTTACCATGGCAAATAAATTTTCGAAACCTTCGACTTTAGTAGGGGTTTTGGTGAAACATTGTCCAAAAGCGTCAGATATGTTGTGTGCTGGATCAACTGATAATAGTAGTACTGTTTCACGGACTAGAGAAAATTGAATGGCCATACTACAACTAAATTTTTGATTTAAAAAGTGAATGGGAGCTTATTAGTAGGTATATGCAATAATATCTGACTAAAAAATAAGTAAAATCAATGATGCACTCTACTATGCGATGTTTACCTGACAGTAGTTTTACCACCACCTCCTTTGCCACCGACGAAAACCCATTTCAAACTTTCCTGGCAGAGTACGTTCTCTAAACAACCTTCAGGTAGAAGATCTTCATTTAAATCGACGTCCATTTTTTTCTAAATATTAAAGTAATAAAAAAAAATTGCAATTTATAAAAAGCAGCTCGAATTATTATTTGAAAAATGTTAATTTTTTATTGTATAACAAAACAAAAATGAAAATGAAACTTGAAAATAGGTTGAACGAAAAATTGCCACTCAAGAGCGTGGTTTGCTGTGCGTTAAAATCTTATCAGTTGTTATTTTTTTTAATGTCACGATCATGGCTTAAATATACAAGGTTATTGCAATAGTACCCCTACCATATCATTTTATCACTTTAAGGAATTAAAATGTTAGCGTAAGGGTATATTCTCATACCACGGTCTTGTATTATTATACCGTGGGCTATACTATGATAATATTATGGGCCGTACCCTTACGTTGCCATTTAATTTTTGTTTGATAACAATATGGGCAATATGCAATATAACCTTGTATATTAAAACCATAGACCTTATTAGCAATTACCTTAGTATAAGGTCTATGATTTAAACCATGGTCACGATGTTTTGATGTTATTGATTTATGTTATCAACAAATACCTACTCGGCATGTCACCCCTCATACAATATATATATTATTATATCACGGGATAAGGGACGCCATACACTAACGTGATCTGGGGGCTCAGTGCTTTTCAGTCACTTGTGTTACGTAGTCAGGACCGTCGTTTGGACACAAGCAAGTCATGCGTTGGTTTAGGGCGGTATATACAATTTTAAAATGTTTTTATAAATATCGGTACCTAAAGAAGAGCGGCATTTCAATTTTCACTTAGGGTGGAAAGTATATAACGACGTGCCTGTACGTAATAACAATACAGGATACAATGTATCAAAAAAAAAAGAACCCTCCACTTTTATTTTTTTATTTCAGGGGGGGGTAAGGTTGATGTTGTAAACTTGGCGATAAGACAGAAATTACGAACTACTTTAAGGTTGTTTATTTAAGAGTGTCGCTTCTGAATTCTGCCCTTCAATATTGTTCCATGGAAATAACTAACAACTAATAAGTAATATCCATGACGTAAGGAATAGCCATGCGCACGGGGGCATCAGTTACAGGATAATATTATGCTGACCTTCGAATTTTGTTCGGGCAGCTACGACTGCCAAATATTGAAATAAAGACTGCAGTAAATTTTACTTCCGAAAAATTATATTTACACAAATTATATATATATATATATATTATATATATCACACCAGGGGTCGGCGACCTTTTTGGTGTCGAGGGCCAAGGTAGCTACAAACAAACAACGTTTTAATTCAGAGTTTCCAGTCCATTCTATATTGTCTATTCTATCTGTTCATTATTTAGTGATTTTTATGCAAATAATAAATTGTACATACAATTACTATGAGGGCCACAAGCGGCCAGCGGGTGGCCAACCCCTGCATCATACATTAATACATTATGAATTATTAATTATATTTGTTAGAAAATGTGTAGAAACATTGGGGTTCCCGTTCCCCCCAATTAGCAAAGCAGCCTCCATCCCTCTAAATAATAAGCAAATTAAATTTTGCTTTTTTTTCTGAGCCAATAATTTGCATGTGATTAATGTGAATTAGTGTGACCTATTTTAAAAACATTTACCAAAAGTTTATTTAAAAAATAAACTATTGGAACTTTTGTACTTATTTTAATATCATGAGGCGATGCAAACTTCTGTTTTTCAAATGAGAACCCCCCGCCCCCTTTTTACTGTAAATTATTTAGTGGATAATTTTTTTGAAAATTGTTATGTAAGTAGTAAGTACCTAATTCAAAATTTGAATGAGTAGTTTCTTAGTTATTAAAATGTTTGTATTAAGGATAATAGTCCTTTAAAATGGTTTTACACAAATATAAAATAGACATATACTGGACCTATTATTTATCATACTTTTTACAAATTATTAATATCAATAGATTATTAGATTATTACAATATTTAAGAATTAAATTATTTATTAGCATATTTTACTGAAAAAATATTATTTATTTTAAATTTAAAGCAGTTAAATTACCCTTCATTATGAGTCAAAACTTCTACCGGTGAAAACAAATTGGCTTGATTATTTATTGAAGAAATATCACAACTAAGACTTTAAAAATATGCATTATATTCATAGTGTACCTACTAAATTTTTGATAACTAAAAAATATTTAATAAAATCTTACTTTTCAGAAAATGATGATGTTGCAGGAGTCGAATAATTTGCTCCTAACGTAAGGCAGGTGGATTGATCAATTATATTATCAGATGTATTAACAGAACTAATCTGAGTATTACTAATATTGTAGTCACCATCCATTATTAAAAAAAGCAAGACATAACAAAACATATTAAAAAAAAATATTTTTTACTATTTCTGTTTTATTAATTATACCTAGTCTACTACGACTCGTCAAAACTTTAAATACTTATAAGTAGATATAGGATGTTGATGACCACACAAAAATGCCCTAATACTCAAAAAAATCTGCTTAAATTGTATAGTAGAGTCGAGTGAATCTCGTCTTAGAGTAGGTCACTGTGATGAATGTGTTAAATTTAAATTCTATGATAAATCATTGACTGATTCGGAAACGATTCTGAACGCAGACATTTGTCAGCCTAAAATATTTTATTTTACGTCTTTTAGTGTTGGTAACTATGTTTTTTTGACGGGTTTTATAAAAATCCTAAGTTCAAATGTACGTGTACCTATATAAAAAAAAGCGGGTAAGTGGGTATCGCTCTGCTGTACATTAGGTGCCGTATGGATCACTATTATATATTATAAAAGTGTTAAATTTCGTAAAAATCTAAAATTCAAACGCTCATTACATTTTCCCTATAATGACGCTTCGAGTTTTCTCTATAGCTACTTGAAGGAAAACTTATGGAAAACTTAGTGTTGAATTTTTTATCCTTAGATATAAACACAAAAAATGTTATGATATTTCAACTTCAAAATTACTTGCAAATTTTGGCGATTTTGACATATTTCGTAAAAATGTTAACTATTAACGCTTATAAAAAAAATTGTGTCTAACGATTTTCGATTTTTTTTAATTACAATAAGAACCACTCATAAGGAACCTTGTATTAAATTTTCAAGTTTTTTTTGCCTTCCAAAATTTTTTTATCGACATTTCAAAAAAAAAATTCTCAGAAAAATCGAAAATTTCAGTGGTCTATAAGTAGCTCAAAAAAATTCGAAATATTTCAAAAAGTTAACAGTATGTATATAACACTAATATAAACATTTGGTGAAAATTTCAAGTATTTACAGTGATTATTTTTTGAGTTACAACCATATAAGAAAATCGATTTGGTCGAAAAGTGGTTTTGCGTAAAAATTCCCGTTTTTCCTTTACTTTTTTTTGTTCTTCTCTATTTTTTTGAAAACTGTTGGAAAATGTTTAATTTTTACCTCTATAATGCACCAAGGATATTCACTTTGTCATCGGAAACCCCCCCGAAGTTTGAAATTGAAGCATTATTTCGACTAGTTATGCTGTACACAGACACAAAAAAACAAACAAAAAAAAACACAAATCATTGTAAAAAAAATACGTCAAAATTTTGACAAAAAAACAAAAAATGCAAATAATATGGTAGCTAAAAATGCCTAAAACTGCGAAAAAGTGCAAAAGTTATCAAATAGGAGTGGCGTACACAGCTATTTTTAATGGGGGGGGGCTTATATATAAAAAAATTATATACATATATATATAATACATTGATGAATCAAAACGATGTACCTATAGTAATTATTTTGTACATAATGAGTAATCGGCTCATTAGCAATGATAAAAATAAAATAAAAATATTTTTACAATTCTCGATTATTACAGGTAATTATTTAGTATAACTACAAAGTTACACGCGTACATACAATATGTATATAATAATATATTACCTATATACAATTCAATAAAAGATAGGTATAAAGAGAAATTTATTTTTACCATATTAATCATTTTTTTTGTACCTAGGTCCTAGGTTGATAATATAATGTATTAAATATTTACCTAGTTCCTCCGAGTTAATTGTATCATAAATTAGTGAGTTAGAAAAATATTCGTTTATTCTTTTCATTTTTATTGTTTTATAAAATATTTAAACAGTAAGTAGTAAGTACAATTTACTAAACGTCCAAAGCGTCAGGAATTTAATTGAAAACTGAGAAATAGATTCTATACTATAGTATTAGCGATACTGCGATAGCTATTAAGGCATATTATATCGGATTACACGATTGTCGACCCTCATGTTTGTGTTTGAACAAATTTCCCAATAATTTCATTAATTTGTAACAAGTTATCAATAATATCTACAATATATTATAACAACCAACTGGGTTGCTTATAAGTTATAATATAATGGAGTATAATTTGGAATATAATATTATTTTAAATTGTCATCATTTTTATTATACATTTTTACGTTATTACGTAAACTGAAAAAATACTAAAGGGGAGGGGGGGTTTGAACACCCAAAACCCCCTCCGTGTGTACGCCACTGACCACTGTATCCTATTACTTATAAGTATGTATATTATGTTGTTATTTAAAAAATTAAAAACTTAAAAATAATAAGTTTAGGAATGAAAAAATAATTTTTTTTATACATACTTATACAATTCAATAATTATTGTTAGAGTACAGACTAAAACTATAAACAGTTAAATTGTACTTACCTTTCATTTTTACTACAGTAATGACGAATGTGTGAAATATTTTTCATTTTTTTATTTGTACATCGTTTTTTTTGTATTTTATTTTTCTTATTTCCCATAGTGTTTTATATAAAAATAAGTTGATATATAACTAAAAAGCTTGTAAAAACGGAATACGCACAATGCACAAACTAATATTTTGAGTTTGCAATGAGTATAAAAACAATAATTTTACGCTCCCAAATATCGTATTCATAAACTCATGTGTAGGTCTAACAGCGATAATAGTAATAAGTAATAACACTAATAACCATTTATATTATATAATATGATTATTATCGTATTTATGATTTTCGT